AAGCTCTCATCTCAAAAAAGGGAGATTGTCCCCACCAAATTTCGAATGGAATTCGGGTGAAGCTGGCCGACTGTCACGCCGAAGTGGTTCAAGACTTCGACGAAGAGGGGGTGGAAAGGCAATCGCAGCCCCGCGGCGAGCTGCTCCCGAAATATTACGATCTCATCAGGACCGTGTTCCCAAGGAAAGCCACCCGAAGGTATAAAATAAGCATACTCCCCGAGGAAGTTATAGTAAGTAATGAGTGATTGGAGCCCCTCGGGCGTCATAGTCGAAGGGCCGAACTTGTCTAACATCTGACCCCGGCGAGAGGTGGACACCAAACTACCCGAAGCGCCACGGCCTACAGGCTCGAACTCTTCCTCGAGCTCTACCTCCGGCTCGCTGAGGCTATCGGGGGATGCAACTTGGTTCGTAGAACCTGCATAGACCCGCTGAAATGACTATCAGAGCCATCCGAGCTAGACATTGGGAGTGACGAGACCTAGGAAAGTACTCACCCGGACAAAAGCTGTAGACCACAGGAGCTCGGACGAACGGAACACCTTGAGCGCGAACTGAAAAAAAACCTGGACGCGAACTGGATGCGAGCTGAAACTCAGACGCGAGCTCGAGAGAAATACAAAAGCGACAACAACTGGGGTCCCCCCCCCCGCTATTTATGCTCACAGTGACCAAAAGGCAACGGCTTAGATCAAAGCCAATCCGATGACCTACAGCCGCATTGACCGCACATCGCCCGAGACCGAGACGTGATTGGCGCTTGTCTTTTTGAAACTGACAGCAACGGCGCGCATCTTTTCGAAACTGACGGAACGATAGCGCACGTCTCCTCAGAAAAAACGGCAGCGGCACGTCTCTTTCAAATTTGAAAAAACGCCCGCTTTCGCGCCCCCAAGTAGCGCATTTTTTTTGAAATTTTGAAGCAACGCGCGCGCCGCCACATCTATCAGCATTTAGACAGGCCGACACGCTTCCCGCATAAATGGACACTCGAAGAAACCCAAGAAACCCTGACAACGCACCTCGCGCCAGCAGAACCAAGATTCAAAGTACAAGACAAATCTACCTGACACCTTGCGAACTCCCCGCGCCAGGGCAAGACCCTTAGCACGAGGATTGGGGGGCAATTGATGAAGGAAGATTTGGCCCGACCTCACGAATCACGACACGTGGCAAAGAAGGCAAGTAGCTCGGCACTTAAAACAGTGTACCGAGGGTACAAACGCCAAAGGGAAGGGACCGGCAGGTCCGAACTCCCTACTTAGAGCTCAAACTCCCTACAAGGAACCCAAACTCTCTGCAAGGTGCCCGAACTCCCTACTTAGTGGTCGAACTCTCTGCAAGGTGCCCGAACTGCATACTTAGTGATCGAACTCCCTGCAGGGTGCCCGAACTCTCCCTTTGACCCCGAGTCACACAAAGTAGAGACCCGAACTGGCCCGTCTTATGGCAGTTCGGGCCCCCCCCCTATCCGAACTCGAGACTTCGCCTCACGCACCGCTCTAGGCACTTCGCTTCCGGAGCATTGAACTGGACGAACCGCGCCGTACCTGACACCGAAGGAGTCCGTATCCAGGGGCGGCGCACCTGACTGACTTGGGATCTGACGCTTGACGGCCGCATTTCCAACGGCCACCTGCCACCGTCACCTGTCACCACTGCCTCCAGTTACAGAGACGGCTCCGACAAAAGGAGCAGTGACGGTTCTGCCCCAGTAGAGGCGATGACGCCCGAACTGGCAGAAGCACGGAAATACTCATTCCCGACCTGACAGGAGTCTAGGAGTGAGTGCGCGAGGTGGTATAAAAGGCTCTCCATCCCCAAAGAGGAGGTATGCAAACTTTGCGCTATCTRGTTTATCTTGCCTTTGAAGGATTCTAACTTAAGCTTCAGAGCCTTTACACCGGATTCTCCCCGGAGTTTTTTCATCTCCTCCGTTTCAGGTCCCCCGTAACTCGGTTCAAAGGCAAGGTCGTTGACAGCTAAGACCGGCCGGATTGCGCATCATCAAAACTTATTAACCATTTTGTCTCTATTTGTTATATTTTTGTTTCAATAGAACTATTTTTTTTTTCTCTTCTGTTTTACATTTTTGCAAATAGAATTTTCTTCTGTGTTATATTTCGTTGGACCTAGTTGTTGAGTTGAAACTTTTAAATAAGAATTGAATATGTGTTTAATCTTGTATGCAATTTGAATGGTTAAACCGTTAAAAGATCTGTTTGGCCTATTGAATCTCCTTGTCGAATTGAAACAAATTTGAACCGCATATCCATTTAATCAATCAAATCAAATTTAATTAGAGAAAAATGGGGTATCCGTCAGACTCGAATTGAATTCGGATATCATGTATTTGTCATCGATTTGAATCTAGATATACCCCAATCCAAATTCAATTCCATCTGTTTGGGTATGAGGCCCGTCCCCAAATCCATCCCAAAGAGACTCTATATCTTCTGTCCACAAGAACTTTATTCATATCTATCCATAACATACTATCTCTGTGCATTGAGAATATCTTCCCGTACGTATAAGAGGATGAGATGTTCCTCATGTGTGACTGCGATATTATATGGATAAATGTGAACAGAATTCTTGTGGGCAAAAAATCCAGACTCTCCCAAAGATAATCCCGATTTCCCAACCCAAATTAAAAACTGACACACTTCGGTTGGGGTTGGGCCTGGGTCGGGCTTAGTGGGTAAAGGGCTTATTGTACGTATTAACTATCATATATTATGTAGTTGGGACCAGGTTTGGACTGTGCTACGATCAGGCCAGGCTCGGTCGTGGTCCAGTTAAGCTGGCTCAGGATTTGATCTTGGCCTCCGTGCCAAGTACCATGATACCATCTACACATGGAAGCAATTTGGTTTCTGTTTTTGCTTCATGTGATTTTTGAAACAACCGTTATAAACTCCATTACTACTTGCTGGAGTTATAAAAAGAAGGGAAATAGTAACATTTACGGTCTGTTTGGTTTGTAGTTGGAATTAGAATCAAAATACTTTGGAATCGAAATGGTCTATTCTCATAGTCTGTTTGGTTCAGACAAGAATGAAAATGAAAATTGGAATTGGCAGGAATGGGATTTCATTCCCAAGAGGGGGAGAGAATGAACATTTTCTTAATTGGGTGAATGCCATTCCACTAGAAATGGGTATGGGATTTCGATTCCACCCAACCAAACGGTTGGAATTGGAATAACCTATTCTGACTCCGATTCCAAACCCCTATTTCTGTGAAACAAACAGAGCCTTAATGAGTTCACTTTTGTCACAACATTGTCGCAACACAGGGCTAAAACAGAAAATCATAGCCTTGAATCTACTGCAAGGACCCACCAAGAACTAACTTCATCTAATTTAAGGTGTGGCTATGACAAACGTGGATTCACATTTAATTAATTAATTAATTAATTTAGGGCCCGTTTGACAAGTCTTTTTGGAAAGATCTTTTGGTAGCTCTGGCAGTCAAATGACGTATTGAGCTTTTGTATGAAGATTTGAGCAGCCCGAAGCTAGTTTGGCAGATATACATCTTTCCGTGTCTTTCCACGCGAAAATAAAATGTAAAAAACACGAAAAACTTTATTTGGAACTTCCTGAAATCTGCCCAAAATAAGCTTCTTACATCTTTTTGGTGCTCCAGTTTTTAGCAATTAGATTTTTGAGAATCAAATGGGAATAGACTGAAAATCAAGCCTGTCCAGCTTGTAAACAGCCGAAAGACTGAACCTTTTTCGGTTTGTAAGAAGCTTAAGAGATAAAAAATTGTCTTTTCCCGTTTGGCATTGTATAGAACTATAGATTAAAAGACCTGAAAACTAACACATGAAAAGACTGAAAAAGCCTTTTAATCTTTCCACAATGAAAATAGCCTTCCCATCCCTTTTTAACATGCTGATAGACCACGAGTCCACGAAAGGTCGTTAAAGACCAGACCCAAAAATGTTAATGCATCTTTTCATCTACTGGGCTGGGCTATTGAAAGATCTACCTAAAAAGAATTGCCAAACACCTCTCTCTTTCTCACGTAAAAGGTAAATAAAAAGGACCCACATTCATGGAGTTCCACCAAATCAGTTAGAAAGATGGAAAGCTGATTTGCCCATTCCATGGGTTAAAGAAATGAATAAGAAAAAGAAAGCAAAAGGTCGACTGATTCCTTGTATAAAAGGTCCATGTGGTTGGTGGGGCTATAAAACTATTTAATGGATTCCACAATGACTTACTTTTATTTATCAATTCAATTAATTAATAAATTAATTACATGTACACCTTGCAACTTCCAATAATAATAATAATAATAATAATAATAATAATAATAATTCAACATTATTGATCTCCTCGATCCCCATCTCCACAAGAAAGAAAAGAAAGAAAAGATAAAAGAAGAGAAAGATAGAAAGTGAGATGTTGATTAAGACCCAAACCCAAATGGGTACCTACTCTGTACCCTCCTCCTTCCTTCTCCTTCTCAGAGCCCTCCCCTAGCAGAGAGTAGAGATTAGAGACAGACATTTGGGTTGGATTACTGTGAAGGATTGAATGTTGGGTATATTTGGCTTTCTCTTTTGTACAGTTAGGACCTCAATGGTGCTCTATGAGGGATACCCTTTCTTCTCCTTGGATTTGAAGCAGGTGGAGGCGTGGGAGGATAGATGTCCTGCTGCCTACCTTCACGCAATTCTTCCTCCTCTCTCCTCCTCGATATCTCTTCTCCTCTTTCCATTGCTTCATTCTCGGTGTCTAAGATAAAGCTCGCATTCCCATTCTTCTTTATTCCTACAAGCTACATCAACAACACAACATTAATCCATTATTGTCAATCAGTCGACACCAATCCAAGCAACCCCATTTCATCTACATTAACAACAAACACTACTTGTTTTTGTGTGATAATGGCATAATTTGCTTAATCAATTAATGGGTCTTGATAGATTGATGGATGGATAGATGAATGGATGATAATGGCGATGAATAGAAATTAACCCATTCTTAACAAACACTAGTTTTCTGTGATAATGGCATGGCTGGTTTAATCGATTAATGGGTTTGGATAGATTGATGGATGGATGAATAGATGATATAATGGCGATGAATACAAATTAACCCATTCTCGACAAGTCTGATCCAAGCAACCCCATTTCATCAACATTAACAAACACCGCTTGTTTTGTGCGGTGATGGCATGGCTTGCTTAATCAATTAATGGGTTTTGTAGATGAATGGATGGATGGATGGATGATAATGGCGATGAATAAAAAAGTTAACCCATTATTGTCAAGATCAATCCAAGCAACCCCATTTCATCAACATTAACAAACACTACTGTTTTGTGTGATAATGGCATAGCTTGCTTAATCAATTAATGGGTTTTGGTAGATGAGATGGATGATTGATAATGGCGATGAGTGTGACAGAGAGAAGCTAGCTTCAACTAACCTTACATCCCAATGAGCAGAAACGAAAGGGGTCTAACAGGCTTCTTCCGCATATCTCACATATATGAGCCACTCCCTTGCCGGCTTTCGGCTGAGGCCTCTCGTTAAGGAACAGAACTCTGGCACTGTTGATCACATAGGTCTGAACTCCACTGATGTCAAGAACCTTCTGAATCTCAGCCACCCTCACCACATCATGATAGGACGACCGTCTTATCTGCAACCGAAAAGCCAAATCCCAATTCAGACTCCAACGCCATAATTAATCTGTAAGGGAAAAAAAAAAGAAAGAAAAAGTTGAATCCCCACTTGAACCACTCGATGATCCTTGTGCTTCGACCCACGGCAATAGAAGCAAAATGCGTCACGGTTGCAATCTAGGCAATACATGTTGCATTCGCTTCGAGCTGCGTCGCCGTGCGTCCGGCAAATGGAGAAGAATGCCGTCGACAGCAATGGTTCTAGCCACGGCGGCACCAACATTGACCCCTGTCAAGAACCCGCCGGAGAACACAAATCCATGAATATCATAAATCAAGCAACGGGAAATAATACTAAAAGAAGAAGATAAATCGATTCTTGCTTTGTGAATTGAATCTGTTTCAGACTGCATGCAGCTGAACATTACCATTATGAAGGCCGATCCTTTGGAAGTAGAAGTTTGAAGGTATGGAAGTGTTGTTCGACTGATAACCGTTGAATCCTCTTGATAATGCCGGAGAATTTACAGAGAGACATGAACAGCGAGAAGAGAGAGAGAGTGGGTGGGAGTGGGCGATGCCCAAACGAACGACCTGCGACTTAGAATTCAACGACAAAACAACGCCTCGACTAGGGGACAAGCACATGAACAAATATGGACATTGACGGTCGAGATTGACCGTTGTGGTTCGAGTGGAGTCTCGACCGTTGGATGGGGAGAGAGGAGTTGGGCTTAGGCGCTTACGCTGCTTTGACTCTTCTTTGGTCGGCAACAAGCTATGTTATGTATGGGAAGGAAAGCTGTTCGTGAACTTCCGTCTCACGTGGATGCCATGTGTGTATTAATGTCGACGTGGCGGGCTCCCATGGTCTATTTTTGGGTGATGAAGTGAAACGGACAAGGATGACATGGCAAATCCAAGCTAGTGGACCCTCTGGTTTGGTCGCCTACTCTCAATCCACCAGTTACTCTTTCCCAAAGTTATTCTGGCAGTAGAAATAGAAACTTTTAATATTTTAATATTCCCAATTAAGTTTCCTAAAAGAAAGATTTATTATGGCCACGTGGCAAAAGATAGACTGAAATTTGACGTAAAATATCAATTTGCCACAAAAGATTCTTGGGTGGCTCAACTTTCGAAAGCATAGGTGTTCCTAATTTTTACTTTTTAAGAAAAAAATAATGGAAAAAGGTCATTTACATAGACACCCCTACAATTTCATGAATTTACAAAACCTATCCTATAATTTATATATTATTAAGACATCTCTTATTCTTTGCACTTTGCAACCGGCTTATTTATCACTTTTCTTTAGACATGAGAAAGAATTCACATTTTTTACCCCTGTATCAATTCCACTAAATTAATCAAAAGAAAATGAAAAAAAAAAATGCTTATTTTGCCATGGTATTTTACTGAGTTATAGGGTTTGTTTGGCTTATAGGAATAACGGTTTGGAATTAGAATCAGAATGGCAGAAAGGCATTCCCCACCCCCTAAGAATGAGAATTCCATTGTAAACACCTCTTTCCTTCCATCTCGATGCCCCCTCGAACAAATGAACCCTACCTATAAATTCTAATGTGGTAAGTCATCATTAAAAAAAATCTCAATTTCATTCTATTTTCGATTCCAATTTTCATCTAAATCAAACAGATAAGGAAAATAATTTATTTAGATTCCAATTCCGACTAAAAACCAAACAGTCCCTTGAGACCATTCCTAAACAAAAATACAAATAGTTGATGATACAAAGTCAATTAACTGAATTAAATAAAGCGGTTACAAACTGCAATAAGTGTTTTAATAATAGGAAGGTTTTAATAAATACATGAAAGTATAGGGGGTGTACAGGAAAACTAATTTACCAAAATGCCCTCCAAATTCAAAAAACTTATTAATGGTAATATTTGGGCTGACGTTGAATTAGGTCGAGTATGTCATCGAGATAAAATTGAAAAAAAAATATATATTGTTTATTTATTTATAAGCAACGAGTTGGTGCAACTCTTATATGCCTAATCCCTACAGACATGGTAGGACACTTGAAAAGACATTCCACTAGACAGAAACTAGGAATCAAGTCCCACCTTCTATGGTAGGTCTGGTGGGCAAATCATCCAATAAGCAATTCCGCTGTTTATTTTCCATGCTCTACAAAATGATCATTTGCAATTGGATTTATTTTTTCTTTTAGGCTGTGTTTGGTTGCAATTTAATTTTCTTTGCACTAGTATAAAAGAATGGGAGTGCAAATGAAAAGAATGCAAATTTTAATTTTATTTTATTTTGGGTTTTAATTTATTCTGCTTCAGGTCTTACTTTATCTCATTTGTACTATAATCAAACAAATAAGGTGAAATTTGAGACAAAAATAAATCAGAATTTGCAGCCAAATCATTTGCACCAGTGCACCATCAATATTTTGCATTAGTACAAATAAATTTGTACCGCAACCAAACCTTATGTTTGGGAAAGGACAAATACAAAGATGCATAGTGCAAAACCTTATATTTTGTACTTCTAAACCTGTATTTGCACTCTATATATTTATATTTGTACTGAGCCTAAAAATTGCAATTAAAAACTGGCTATTAGGTAGTATAGAGGGTATCATCACCCATGAACATCATGGCAATGTTCTAAATATCGACATGGGCAGATCGTGTCGATGCTTTTTTTTATGTTGTACTTATTTTTTTCAAAATCAGTTTAAAGGGGCCAGTTTAAGGCCCGGCTACCCTCTAAACCAGTGGCTGACCCAATACAACCTCTATAGGAGCGTATCAGGAAGCCATCGGCACAATAAGTATCAGCTGATACTTTGAACCTTGCATCATGGACCTGGACCACTCGTTTTATGGAGCACTGTTTATGCTTGCTGATATTGAATACCATCACCTAGTCTCCAAACAAAGTTTTAATTATTCTACAGGCAAGTGGGTGGTTGCTACATTTATTTTAAGCTCAAAAATATTTCTAAAAATGCACATTGAATTAAATCTCTATAGACAATGAATTCAAAGCATTGACGGATATGATGTCCATACATAGAAATTATTTTAGGTTTCAAGCTTTGAACCAGGCCATCTCTGGCCAGAGTATTAATACCTGAATATAGTCACTTGTCTTAGATCCTTGTATTTAGTATATCATTGACCCTCAAAATCGATACATATTGATCGATAGGTTGTAATTCTTTTTCCTTTTTTTTGAATTTTGAAGCTTGAGTATATATGCCAAATAAGTAATCAGATATCATAGACACAAGGCTCAAAGTATCAACATGTATTGGCCTATATCGACCGATATGTATCATTCTGGGACCTCCTCGATACGCCCCTACAGTGGGTGTATTGGGGTTCTGACTGGTTCAGGGGGTGGAGGAGCCTTAAACCGGCTCCTGAACTGGTTTTGAAAAAAAAATAAAAAAGTAAAAAAAAAAAACAGTATCGATATCGCTCGATACACCCCTACCAACGTATCAGGCATATCAATATTTTGAATCTTGCATAGACAGCCTTGTACAAAACCCACACCAAACAGTTAATATCCAAATAGTATCTTATTTATTGCTTATTGTAATTGGCTCTCCTCATATTCTATAATTTTCCCATCTCTTAGTTGGTTTTTGAGTTGGGCTGAATTTGTGCTGGACCCATCTCCATTTATTCGATTTGATTCAAATTTGATCAATTAATTATTTTAGATAATTAATATATATATATATATATATATATAAATTATATAATCGATTGATTTCAGATCTTTATCGAATAAAATCAGGTCATATTCAAATTCGATTCAATTATGTCGAATTTCATATTCAAAATCAGATTTTTGAATACTATTGGCACCCTTATCCTTACCTACACATAGAATTCAAATTCTATCTATATAAATTTTTATTTATTTTTAACTTCATATTTTATATCCATATTTAATTAATGGATGGTAATTATTATTTAGTATACAAATTCTCAAAAGAATTAACTACTAAACATAAAATCAACATAAATAAATATATCTATGATGTATATATAAGGTTTTGTTTTGGGGTTTTATAACAACATTTATCAATGAATCAGCTATGTTAAATCATTAATTACCGAAAAAAATCAATAATGAAAAACACAAATTTTATATCTTAATTGGGACCCATGGGATAACAAGCAGCTTTCTCTTTACATGCAGGCCATGTAATGAAATAACCATGATAACCTTATTATCTTTATATCAAGCTTTCCCTTACATAAGCCAAATGAAATATATGGTTACAATCTCTAAAGTAGATAAAAGAGGACCTTAGAAAAGTATATAACGAAATTTATTGGAAATTAGTAATTTAAAAAAAAAGGATAAATTATAGATGACCACCTTGTCCTTGGTGGGTAGTAACATTTAGCCCCCCAAACTTTGTTTTGTTACAAAAACCCCTCTGAACTTTTGGATTCCAGCGTCTTGACCCTCCCATAAGCATTTCATCAATTAACTTCATGGATATTCCTTTAAACATTTTTTATATCTCCGAATTACCCCTATTTTATATTTTGAGACTATTTTGCCCTTTATCTTATGAAATCCTAACTCACATGTTTATCTCAATTTTCTTTCAACAAAGCTCATTTTAAGGAGACTTTGAAAATGATCAATTCAACACCCTGAGAATGACTTGTACTTTAGAATGGTTATTTTCAGCATTTTAATATTTGTTGTTGTTAGACCGTAGAGTCTCCAATGGGCAATTTAGTGAATTTACTTTCACAGTCAACCCCATATAGCAGGTCAGCGGTAAAGTACTGTTTGGAATCTAAAAGTTTGGGGGTCTAAATGTTAGTGTGCTATCACTCCTGAAGTACAGGGTGGTTGTCTCTAATTTACCCTAAAAAATTGAAAGAAGTTAGATTTAATAAGTATGCATTGCTTGATTAAGTTGTGTTGATACTTGATAATATAGATCCCTTTGTGTGAGAAATAAGGAGAAGAAAGCTGGCAACATGCATGGGAACATGCTCCTCCCAATAACTTTCCCTTATTGGTTTATTGCTCATTATTACCACTTTAATCTATCATGTGCTGATGTTATGTGCTCTTCTCTCATCTCTCTTTGTAGGGTTTAAGATAATTAATTCTCTTTAGCCTTCAAGTTTCTCAAAACTCAAGTTATGTCAACTTCCTAGTTTTAAAGGAAAATCTCTCTCTCTCTCCCCATGTACATACATTAGGAATATCTTTGGTATTTACATGTTATTATTCATGGGAAAATGTTCCTAATGTAGAGCTATGGGTAAGAGATGGGAGTTCATATCAAACACCACCTAAATTATTAAACCAGGCACATGCACATTGATGGATCCCACCATTATATTCCAATTCATTGGTTGTTAGAGATTATCTCTCACTTTAGTCTCATCTAAATCGAGTTCAAATCAGCCCCCCATTATGTCCCACAGCACATCCTTGTCATGTATTGAGAATATCTCCTGATGATAATACTGAAAATGATGATATCATCATTGGGAGATGTTCCCAATACACGGCAGGGATGTGCTGTGGGATATTGTGGGGGGCTGATTCGGTCTGGTTTAAATCACTACCCAAAAATGAAATAGTGGTATGCCCCAACAAAATCCAA